TTGAGCACCTGGTCTACAATCGCCTAAGCGCCCACCTCACTGATAACAACCTCCTTGACCCCCTACAGTCTGGCTTCCGCCCCCTGCACTCCACTGAAACCGCCCTACTTAAAATCACCAATGACTTGCTAACCGCCAAAGCCAATGGCCACTATTCTATCCTCCTGCTCCTCGACCTCTCCGCGGCCTTCGACACTGTTGACCACCCTCTCCTCCTTGCCAAACTGCACTCCCTTGGCATCAAGGATGCTGCTCTCTCCTGGTTCTCCTCCTACCTTTCCCAACGCTCCTTCAGCGTCACCCACAACACTGCCACCTCCCCCTCCCTCCCCCTCTCTGTTGGGGTCCCCCAAGGCTCTGTCTTCGGACCCCTCCTCTTCTCCATCTATACCTCCTCCCTTGGCAAACTTATTCACTCCCACGGCTTCAATTACCACCTCTATGCCGACGACACCCAAATTTACCTCTCCACCCCCCACCTCACCCCCTCACTCTCTGCCCGCATCGCCCACCTCCTAAACGACATATCAGACTGGATGTCACTCCATTTCCTCAAACTTAACCTATTCAAAACCAAGCTCCTGGTCTTCCCCCCACCCCGTGCCCCCCCATCCTCTCCATCACTACTAACAACGCCACCATCTCTCCCACCCCACACGCCAAAGTCCTGGGTGTCACCCTGGACTCCCACCTCTCCTTCCCACCCCACATCCAACTGCTATCTAGATCTTGCAGGCTCCAACTCCGCAACATCTCCAAGATACGCACATTCCTCGCCCCGGACACCACCAAACAACTCGTACACTCCCTCATCATCTCACGCCTGGACTATTGCAATTCCCTTCTCACTGGCCTACCCAAACAAACGCTATCCCCACTCCAGTCGATCCTAAACTCAGCGGCTAGACTCATCCACCTCACCAAGCGCTCCACATCTGCCTCCCCCCTCTGCCAATCCCTTTATTGGCTCCCGATTGCCCAACGCATCAAATTCAAACTGCTAACTCTGACCTCCTACAAAGCCATTCACAATACATAACTGACCTGATACCCAAGTACTACCCTACCCGTGCCCTCCGCTCCTCACAGGACCTCCTACTCTCTAGCTCCCTGGTCTCCTCCTCCCACGCCCGATTACAGGACTTCTTCAGGACTTCCCCCATCCTCTGGAACTCCCTATCCCAATCCATCAGACTGTCACCTACCCTCCTCACCTTCAGGCGCACCTTGAAAACCCTCCTCTTCAGGGAAGCCTACCCCAACCTCCCCTAACATCCAACCTCTAACCACTAACCTCCTCCACTCCTCCCACCACCCCATCCCCCACAGCCATCTCCTCCTGTACCACCTTCCCCTCCCTCCTAGATTGTAAGCTGGAAAGAGCAGGGCCCTCGAACCCCTCGTGTAGTGTATTGTTACTGTCTTGTCTCATGTTCTGTCCCCCTTGCTACTGTACAGCGCTGAGCATACCCTTTGGTGCTATATAAATACTGTATAATAATAATAATAATAATGGATGAATTTGTGAGTTTGTTTTGAATGTTAAAAATGAATTAAATTGCATTTTCAGTTTGTGGTGCTCAGATACAGTTTAGCTCCACTTTAAGGCCCCATTCACACTTGAACAATTTGTAGCTTGAAGCTCCAAAATTCTTGAGGAGAAAAAAATCATTTATTCTCAATGTAGATGGTTCAAATGTTTGAAGCTCAAACAAGTTCTGGAGCTTTTTTTTGTTACTCAAATCGGGCAGATTTGTGTGTTTTTGAGCTTTTTTATTTTCATAGAAATGAATGGAAGCATGTGATCCACGTGTTTTTGTGTGTATTTGTGCATTTAATTGTGCGTTTTTCTGCTCAAATGCAAAAATGTGAAAAAAATTGTAATAATATATGAATAAATAAATGTAAAATAAATACACAAATACATAAAAATAATCATAAAGAAAATAAATTATTAATAGTAATAAATACATAATAATGAACCCCCTAACCCTAAAAAAAAAAAATATATATATATATATATAAAAATGATAATAATAATTATAATTATTATTATGAATAAAAAATAATAATAAACACCCAAACCTGAACAAAAACATAAATTAATAATAATTAAAATAATTTATTTATTTTATGTTAGGCTTAGGGTGTTTATTTGTTATCATTTTATTTTTTATTATTAATTTATTTAAAATTTGTAAGGGTTAGAGGATTAAGGTTAGGGGTTAATTATATTTATTTATTTATTATATATATATTATTCATTTATTTTATTTATTTATGCATATTTTAATTTATTTGTGTATTTATTTTACATGTATTTATTTATGCATTAGTATTATTATTAACACCCTAACCCTAGCAAATAAATAAACAAATAGACAATAAATAAAATATTAACCCCCTAATCCTAACCCTAACCTTAACTCTAACCTAACTCTTTACCCTAACAAAAAAAGATAATAAATGAATAATAATAAAAAAGAAATAAAAACTGTTGGAAAAGCTAAAAAAGCTGAAAAACGTAGCAGCAAATGATGCAACCGATGATATTTTTCTCTATTGGCAAATAAAAACATGTCAAAGCTCAAAAACGCCTGAAGAATGCTGTATGAAGATATGCATAAAAGTGCAAAAATCGGGTGACAAAATGCGAAAAATTAGCAAAAATAAACTCTACACTTAAGCGTGAATTCAGCCTAAGAAACCAACAAATTAAAGCCTCACTCCAACTAACACCTTTTAAGTAGTTACAGCCAGTGGCGTCCCAAGGCAGGTGCGGGGGGGTGCGGTCCGCACCAGGTGACACCGACCGCACGGGGTGACACCAGACCTGCGCCACAAAAAGGTAAGTTGTAAAGCAAGCCGACGATCCCCACAGGATCCTCGTCGGCATGCAACCTATACGGGGTGACACCGGACCCGCTCCACGAAAAGGTAAGTTGTAAAGAAAGCGGACGATCCCCGCAGGATGCATCGGATCTGCGGATTGAGCATAATGGATCGGAGTCCGATCCATTATGCTCAAATCGCAGATCCGATACATTCTGCGGGGATCATCGGAGGGGGTGTCACCAAGTGTTACCGCACCGGGTGACACCCACCCTAGGGACGCCTCTGGTTACAGCAACAATGTTTTAAAAAGGATTTCAATCATATGAATAAAAGATGGCTACTGTAACTACCCCTATCAGTGTTGTATGGTTTGTCCCAATTGTAATTGCAACTTTTACTGGACATCTTGGCCTGTTAAAAGGAAGAAAAGTAATAGGTCAACTGGCAGGATCAATGGGTAACAAAACTTATGTTATGGACGGATTTAGAATAAAATACTGCGGTGTTAATGCTAGTGACAAAGCTGCTTCATATACAGTACTTTGTCATTTTATTATTTTGTTAATAGTTCCATTTTAATACCCGCCCAGCTGTCTGTACTTTGATTCTGACTCTCTTGTGTCCTGTAGTGATGTTGAACCTGGAATGTGGAACCACAGTGAGTATCAGGGGACCAATTATTAAACACTCCCTGGAAGTGTGTCAGAAGCTGAAGATTCTTCAGCCAGTGCAGTTTTGCAAAAAGAACAAAGATCAGAAGAACAGATAGCAGAACAGGTCAGTTTTAAACAGGAACCAAACTCTGGAAGCTGAACCCAAACTAAAGGCAGGTGGGGGGCAAAGAACTAGTCACCAGTCTTGCCTGTAGCTGATCGTTCCTCATTAAACTACATTCTCATGGGCGATTAGAGGCATACAACAAATTCACATGGAAAAAATCAGCAGATTCTTGTGTCTGAGATCAGGTGTATGCAAAACAGCTGCGGCCAGGAAGTCTGTACAATGACAGGCTGACGAGTCTCAGCTGTTTCCATGTATCAGTACATCCAGAGGTTACCTGTAATTAGGGACAGATGTCTGACTCTGGATGCAATCTTTCTGTATCCAGTGTTGCTCCTCTGTCTCTAACAGCAGGTATCAACCACTTGAGGTGTGTTGCAGAGACCTGAGAACAGATGCATGCTAGCTCTTAATATTTAAATCTGAAGAGCAAAGCACTACGCTAGTGTTGAGTCCAAAATGTAGATTTATTCCTAACATAAAATAGGTGCAACAGCCAACGTATTCCAGGGACCACACATCGTACCCTTCAGGGCTTCAGTTGGTACGGATTCAAACTGTTATTTAAACTATGTGTTAAAAGAACTTGGCAACACTCAGCAGCTGGTTTAGATTACCAACTGATGTATTTTGTGTGGTCTAAACCAGTTGCTGAAGCTTCCTTACCAACTGATTTCATATATTTTAGGTCCCCATGAAAGGAACTACATGTGGTCACCAAAACATGTTGGCTGTTGCACTTAATATATGTTTGGAACAAAACCACATTTTGGACTTCAGGGTCAAAACTGGGGGGGGAATGTGACCTGGGTGCCACATTGAGAGGGTCCTCATCAGATTCTCTCCCCCTGTGGCTCCTCCAGTTGTTGATCCACTTCACAAATGCTAGAGCTGCAGCAATGATTCATGTAGCAGCATGGCACTTGTGATATTGAGCAGATCAGGCACCGGGGGACATTGTAGCCATGGCCTTCTTTCACTGACATCCAGTGTAGGTAATTGAACACATACTGGACCGTCAGCCATGTCCCCAGACCACTTCACTTTGCTTCACAACTTAAGCCTTGCCCCTTCCAGAACATCTCTCCATGAACCCTGGGATGGCACCACCACTGGCTGCCAGGGAGCCATGTGGGCAAAGAAGCAGGAAGTTCACCTGGTTTCCTGGGTACCTGGTTTCCTCAATGATGTTTGCCAAAAGTGTCCTGGCAGCGTGTGGAGGGAACGAGAGCATCACACAGGAGGAGAACTGGTTGAGGCCCGAGATAAGAGGCTGTGTTAGGTAAATAAATCACAGCCAGCTAAGATGCAGTCATGGTAGAAGGAGGAGCACTGTTGCTGGAGGCTGAACCAAGAGCTGTGGCGGACGGCAAGAGTTAGTGCCACATACCCAAATATAACCATTTTCTTATCTGTTCACACTTCCATGTTTCAGTCCAGTGTGTGTTCACCTGCACTGGATGTCTGTGGAAGAAAGCCATGGCTCCAATGTTAATAAATACTTTATTACACCTGCCTGCCTATGAAGCACCATAGCAACCTCCTTAGTGTTCTAATACTGAAACTGTCCTCTGCCCTAATTACATCATCTACTGCCCTACTGACACTGTCCACTGCCCTAATTACATCATCTACTGCCCTACTGACCCTGTCCACTGCCCTAATGACATCATCTACTGCCCTACTGACACTGTCCACTGCCCTAATGACATCGTCTACTGCCCTACTGACACTGTCCACTGCCCTAATGACATCGTCTACTGCCCTACTGACACTGTCCACTGCCCTAATGCCGTCTAACTGACATCTGCCCTAATGACATCATCTACTGCCCTACTGACACTGTCCACTGCCCTAATGACATCGTCTACTGCCCTACTGACACTGTCCACTGCCCTAATGACATCGTCTACTGCCCTACTGACACTGTCCACTGCCCACATGTCTACTGCCCTGACACTGTCCACTGCCCTAATGACATCATCTACTGCCCTACTGACACTGTCAACTGCCCTAATGACATCATCTACTGCCCTACTGACACTGTCAACTGCCCTAATGACATCATCTACTGCCCTACTGACACTGTCCACTGCTTGGGGCACTTTTACAATCCTATAGTGTATACCACAAGTTAAAAAAAACGCTGCTCAAGTGTTTGGGTTTGGCTTGAAGAAAAGATGGCAACCCGCCAAGCCAGAAGAAAGCAGCAGTAAAGCGAGTCTTTAATAATTCACTTCTTTCTTGGCAGCACACCTCCTATTCATCACTGGAGGTGAGGCTTGAAATTGCCACCGCAGCAACAAAAAGGCCCAGTGGGGTGGGCCTTTAATAAGTCAGTCATGACTGTAGAATGAGGCCATTCCAAGCCTCACCTACTTGACATATTAGGAGGGGCACTATTGGGTAGGAAGAAGAGCGCAGAGAAGCAGGCCTTTTATTAAAGACCCACTTTTTATCTCACTTCTTTCCCAACAGTGCCTCTCCTAATCTGCTACAGAAGTGAGCTTCCAAATCACCTCATAAAGTGCAGCTGCTTTCTTCTGGTGCAGCGGCTAGGATTGCCACCTTTTCTTCAAGCCAAGCCCTGAACACTTTAGTGGGCGCACAGCAATTTTTTTTTGCTTTAAATTGCCTCATTAAAACTACGTGGAGATTGTGTAGGCCTTCAAGCTACATGTGCAGAGTCACTATTGCCAAATCTTTGAAATGACTAATATACCAGCAGTGTTCAAGTCAAACTAGGACTTTTGAGTTTATATAATAAAAGAAAAAATTTCAAGGAGTGGAAACTGTATTTATTTTTCGACATACTCCCCTGCTACATGTATACACTTATCCCAGCCTTTACTAATGCCTGGAAATCTTCAGCATAGAAAGATTTGTCAGTACACCTGAACTATCCTAGGACAGCCTGCTTCACTTCGTCATCATTGTGTTCACTGTTCCGACAGAAATATTTGGCTCTTGTGCAATTTCATTACAGGTTATGCATCGATTATCTAGGAAAGGGCATACCACGCGCTGAATGTTCACAGGAATAACTGCATTACTGATGGGAGTACGGTCATCTTTGAAACATTTACACCATTCAAATGTCTTACTGCGGCTGAGCGTCTAATCACCATACTGTGCTTGAAGTCTTCTGTAGATATCTGTGGGTTTTACGCCTTTTTTTCACAAGAAACTTCATCACCACACGGAGTTCCATGTATACACTAACACTGTTGTCTGCCATCTTGATTAATGGTCTCTGGCCTGGACTGCAACATGTGTGCTGGCTATCAGTAATAGGACACACTTACCACTTACTACTGCATGTAGTACCTCCATGCTAGCATACCTTTTTATACCTGTAAAATTTAAATTCCTCGTTTGACTTGAACGCCCCTCATATATATTCATTTATTATTATTATTACCATCATATGGCTTATTTATCACATTATGTATTACACTTGGACTTCTCTCTTTGGCCAGGGTTCTATGTGAATGGAGAACTCCTTTCTTAAGTGAGAGAAAGAGGGAGGGGGCACTGAACTGAGTTTTTGCCCCAGGAGAAAGAATGTCTAGCTTCGCCATTGCCTCTAACACTAGTATGGCACTTTGATTTTCAGATTCAAATATTACTTTCACATTCTGAGGTTTCTGTGACATTTCCTCAGCTCATGGAAGCAAACCACACATCACCCAGAAGCCCCACTGGGCTACCATAAGTATAGTTTTGATAAATACATCAATACTCCTAGATTGTAAGCTCCAAGCAGCAGGGCCCTCCTTTCCCTCTTGTATTGAACTGTATTGTCTCCCGTTATATTGTAAAACGCTGAGCAAACTGCGCTATATAAATCCTGTATAATAATAATACTACAAAAGTATTATCTACCTAAGGTTCCAGCGCCATCGATCTACCATTTCAAGCATGTCAGCTCCTGTCAGCCTATCATTGCTTTTTACAGGCTTTCTGGCCACAGCTGTTTGCATACACCCATGATCCTACCTAATAATCGATGCATAACCTGTCGTGAAATTGCACAAGAGACAAATCTTTCTGTGGGAATGGTAAACACAATGATGATGAAGTGAAGCAGGCTGTCCTATTCAGGTGTACTGACAAATCTTTCTATGCCTAAGCTTTCCAGGCTTTAGTTAAATCCTGGGATAAGTGTATAAATGTAGCAGGGGAGTATATCGAAAAAAATGCTGTTTCAACTCCTTGAAATTTGTTCTTTTATTATATAAACTCAAATGTTCCAGTTTGATTTGAACACCCCTAATAATAACTGCTGTGGAACTTCTTCCTTTGTTGCTGCTGTATTATCCTTCTGCAGTGTGGACAGGGATAAACTGAATATTCATTAGTGCAGACATGCAGCAGCCATCTTTCCAATATTCATCTATGGAATGTCTCCAGTGCAGGGAGCTACCATCTTGGCTGGGTCTGAAGGATGATGATTGGCTGATGCAACAGAGCAAGGAGAAGTGTAGCAAGGGAGTCTGAAGAGAGGAAAGGAGTGAGCACTACAAGGTTGCAGTAAAGGGGAAACAGTGGTGTGTGGTCGGAGTTTACTGGAACTATCTGATGTTGTGCTCAAGAGTTTATCCTTTAGCTTGTAATCTCCATGAGCAGGGCCCTCATTTTCCTTCTGTATTGAACTGTATTGTAATTGTACTGTCCCCCTTTATATTGTAAAGCACTGCGTAAACTGTTGGCGCCACATAAATCCTGTATAATAATAATAATAATCAGAGACTACTGCTGCCATTATACTCTGGCAAGTCTGGCTGCAATCGATTATAGTCCCCCTTTTACTGTACATATAGTGTGAGGATATTGCAGCATTCCACTGCATCCTACAGGCCCTTGGATCATTGTCTTGATGGGCATCATTACCCTTGGTTAATGATGCCCATCAAGGCAACGATTTCCTCACTGACCCACCGGATCATCCTTCAACAGTAGCTTTAAAACACCAGCTAAGGTTGATGTGGGCAACTCTGTAACTAGAAATAAAATTGTATTATTATGGCACCTAGTATTAGTGTGCTAAATAATATTAATGTTGTGCCAACACTGTGACAGCAGTGTGGATTCACGGCTGCCCCTAAAAAGTGAAGTAACACTTATAAATATATCAACTATGACTAGGTAGGCGTTGAGCATCAGAAGAACAAAAATCAAAACATCTCTATATGTGACATGATCAATATCAATAATGTGATTTTATAACTTCCCAAAAAATGTCTTTAACAATAAATGTGATAACACATTAAAAAAAGTAACGGTCTTTTAGGACGCATTAGTCCATGTGTCTTCTCCACGTGCCAGAAAGAATAAGTGAATTGCTCATTCACCAAACTTATTTGACCCCGGTTAAGGTGGTCACAAATGCATTTTGATAGTGTATGCAGAAAGGTCAGCCTCTGGCTATCCTAGGGTGTTCCTCCCAGACGCCCGCATACCGCAGAACATAGCCCCCATTTCCAGTGAACCAACAATGGATGAATACTCTATATCAGGCTCTCCTTGCCTTTAGAGGAATGTTTTCAAGCAGGTTCTCCCTCAGCAGCAGCTGAGTGGCTCATGTGGCTCCAGCATTCAGGACTCTCACTCACAAATTATATTTTCTCTTTTTCAGACCATTCTCTGTAAACCCGAGAGATGGTTGTGCATGAACATACCAGTAGACCAGCAGTATTTGAAATATTCAGACCAGCCCATCTGGCACCAACAACCATGCCACGTTCAAAGTCACTTAAATGCCCTTTCTTTCCCATTCTGATGCTCAGCTTGAACTTCAGCAAGTTGTCTTCACCAAGTCTACATGTCTAAATACATTAAGTTTCAATTGAACAGTTGTAACTAATAAAGTGGACAGTGAGTATATACAGTTGTGTTCAAAATAATAACAGTCAGATATCACTAACCTGATCAATCACTGTTTTTAATAGAAATGATATTTCTACATGGCAAATAATTTACTAGCAGGTGTAGTAGAGTAATAGAAATCCAACAGACCCAACAGTCATGACATGCATGCTGCTGATTCTGTGTAATTGAATCACTAATTGAAAGGGGCATGTTCAAAATAATAGCAGTGTGGAGTTGTATTAGTGAGTTCATTCATTCTTTGAAAAACAGGTGGCAATTATTGCCCTTATTTAAGGAAGGAAGGCAGCAAATGTTGTACATGCTGGTTACAGTGCATTTCTCTCTGAAATTCTGAGGAAAATGGGTAGTTCCAGACATTGTTCAGAAGAACAGCGTACCTTGATTAAAAAGTTGATTGGATAGGGAAAAACTTTTAAAGAAGTGCAGAAAATGATAGGCTGCTCAGCTAAAATGATCGCAAATGCTTTAAAATGGCAACTAAAACTTGAAAGACGTGGAAGAAAGCGAAAAACTACCATTCGAATGGATAGAAGAATAGCCAAAATGGCAAGGACTCAGCCAACAATCAGCTCCAGGAAGATCAAAGAAGGTCTAAAGTTACCTGTGAGTGCTGTTACAATTAGAAGACGCCTATGTGAAGCCGAGCTATCTGCAAGAAGCCCCCATAAAGTCCCACTGTTGAAAAAAAGACGTGCTGAAGAGGTTACAATTTGCCAAAGAGCACATTGACTGGCCTACAGAGAAATGGCGCAACATTTTGTGGACTGATGAAAGTAAGATTGTTCTTTTTGGGTCTAGTGGCTAGAGACAGTTAATTACATCAGAATACTTGAAGAGGTCATGCTGCCTTATGCTGAAGAGGAAATGCCCTTGAAATGGGTGTTCCAACAAGACAGCGACCCCAAACACAC